GCGCTGGGCGCCGAAGGGCGGGGCTGGCCGCGGCTGGTGCTGACCGCGCTGGGCTTGGGGCGTTAGTCCCTGTGAGCAGCGTGGGCTTTCAACCTAGTGTTTCCTAATTCAGGGTCCTGTGCGGAGCAGGTAGATTCTGCAGGTGGGTTTTAGCCCAGCGGTCCCTCGTTGGTGACATTTTACGAAAATGAGACAAGTTTGTTCACTTCCTCGGTCCTGACTGTAACGACAGGAAGCGGCTCCACCACTGCCCGCGTGGTTGAGTCCCGTTGGGACCTGCCCGCCTCCCCCCAGCCCTGGGAGTCCCTGCTCTGGCTGGACCCCTCCTCACACCCCGTCCAAGCCCATCCTGCTGCCTGAGTTGGCACGATCCTGGCTCCTCTTTTCAGAAGGTTGAGGGGCAGGTACGTGCAGTGGTAGGCGGCGCGCAGCCTGGAGTTTCACTGAAGCACAGCTGGGCCTGCTCCCACCGTGCAGGGCTGAGCTGGGAGCTCAGCAGAGACAGTACCCAAGACGCCGGGTCACTTACTGGCCTTCACAGAGGACGTTCGCCCACAGTCTTCCACTGCTGCTGACCGACAGGTTTCCTGAGTGTCAAAGCTCTCCTCTCTGCCCTCCCACAACCTCACCAGCCCTGGAGGAGGCTGCTGCTGCCCAAGGCTCGAGGCTTCATCTGAGGTGGAACTGTTAAGTGCTTAGAGGCAGACGTCCAGGCCCCTGCTTTAAACGTTCAGGTGCTCTCCAGCGAGGCTTTTCTGGGGAACCGTGGACTGGAATGGGCCTCCTCTTTTCAGGTAGAACCTACCAGGCCCTGCTCAGACTGCTCTGGAAAGGCTACCCCGATGTTCCCTGGGACCTCACAGCTCCACCAGATCGTTACCACGTCAGTGGGAGCCTAAAATCATGCCTTGTTTCCTTTTGTTTGGGGATAGACCCCGCTTTACCATTGAGCTGTGCCCTAACCCTGGTCATCATTGAATGAATGCCTGTTGCACCACATAGATGTGCACACGGCACTATGGACGTGTGACAATTAGAAAAATACATTTCACCTCTATCCCGAGTTTCTAGCAGAACTTCTAATTCCTGAGTGCTGGAGGCCATAGGAGTCTCTTCTTCATAGCTCCTAAGTTCCTTGAAGTTTCTATTTTTATTTATTTATTTTGGTTCAGTTGTGTGTGGGGCGGTGTTTGAACCCAGGGGCACTCAACCACTGAGCTACATCCTCAGCCATTTTTTATATTTTATTTAGAGACAGTGTCTCACTGAGTTGCGCAGGATCTAAGTTGCTGAGACTGGCTTTGAACTTGCAAACCTCCTGCCTCAGCCTCCCAAGCTCTCCCTTAGAATTTCTTGAATGACAAGAGCACCTAATGACACAGTTTTAGGTGATGAACTGGATGGCTTCAGGAGGGGGCTAGTCACCATAACAACCAAGCCCTCATGGGAAACTTGGACCTCCCAATGTGGTCCTCTGGGACTGCAGATTGAGTAAGCGGGATGGATCCTGTCTAGGTGATGAGGCCTTCATAGAAATCCCTAAATATGTGGAAGCTAAAAAGTTGACCTTAAAGAAGAGGGTAGAATAGTGGCATCTTTACCCTGGAAGAGTGTAGGGAGAGGTGGGAAGGGAAGGAAGGTCAGTGGGTACTAAGGAGCTGTTGGGCGGAGGAGTAAATATTCTGTAGCACATTAGGATAACCATGCTGACCGAAATGGAGAGAACCCTTCAGACAGTCAGCAGAGAGGGTTTGTGTTGCCAACAGAGGGATGACACATTTCTGGGGCCATAGATTGCATTGTTGGACAACCTAGTTGAATGTTTCACATTGAAAAAAATTTGTTTTGAGGGGCTGGGGATGTGGCTCACGTGGTAGCGTGCTCGCCTAGCATGTGTGAGGCACTGGGTTCAGTGCCTCACACATGCTAGGTGAAAATAAAATACAGATATTGTGTCCACCTAAAACTAGAAAATTAAATATTTAAAAAAATTTTTTTTGAAATAATTGTAGGCTCAAATGAAAGATCTCAAACTGTATTGATTCGATAGGGTCCCTGATCAAATTCCAACTCCCCCAGCCCCACCTGTGCGAGTTTGTGCTAACTTCTGCACAGTTGGGTCCCTTGGGTACAGGCAGGTCTAGGTCCCTAGTGGTCCCTTTGTAGCCACTTCCTGCTGGGTCACAAACCCTGGGCTTCACCTCATCTGTTTTTCATTTCTAAAGCCTCATTTATATAGAATCACATTATAAATAACTTTTGGTGATTGACTATTTTTGCTCAGTATAGTTTCCTGGAAATTTATCCACATTACTGCTTGTGTCAATAGTTGTTTCCTTTTGCATACTAAGTACTATTCCAGGTAGATTTAGCCATTCCCCTATTGAAGTATACATGGGTTGATTCCAGTTTGGTCTATCATAAAATTAGCTGGTATCAACATTCAAGTCCAAGTTTGGGTGGGAAGAAAAGTCTTCATTTCTCTGGAATAAGTGCCCAGGAACACAACCACTGGGTCATAAGGTAGTTGCATGTTTAGTTTTTGAAGAAATTGCCGAGCTGTCATTCACCAGCAGTGTGTGAGTGAGCAAGTTTCTCTACATTTTTGTTAATGTTCAGTGTTGTCACTACTTTGTATTTTAGTCATTTAAATAGCTATGATACTTTATTGTGCTTATTTATTTATTTATTGGTACCAGGGATTGAGCCCAGGGTCACTTAACCACTGAGCTATATCCTCAGCCCTTTTTATTTCTTTTTAAATTTTGAGACAGGGTGTAGCTGAGGGTAGTTGCTGAGGCTGACTATGAACTTCTGATCCTTCTGCCTCAGCTCTCCTGAATTGCTGGAATGGCCAGTGTGGGCCACAGCACCCAGCTTTTTACCCCTTTTAAAAATTGGATCAAGTGGGGCTGGGGACGTGGCTCAAGCGGTAGCGCGCTCGCCTAGTGTGCGTGCGGCCCGGGTTCGATCCTCAGCACCACATACAAACGAAGATGTTGTGTCCGCCAAGAACTAAGAAAAAAAATAAATAAATGTTAAAATTCTCTCTCTCTCTCTGTCCCCCTCTCTCTCTCACTCTCTTAAAAAAAAAAGAAATTGGATCAAGTGGGTTTTTTTTTATTATTATTATTGTTGGATTTGAGGCCTTTCTGTAACAGAGGGTGTGTTTAGAGTCAGGGTCTCACTGAGTTGCCTAATGCCTTGCTTTTGCTGAGGCTGGCTTGGAACTCTTGATCCTCCTGCTTCAGCCTCCCAAGCTGCTGGGATTATAGGCATGCACCACTGGGTCCGGCAGGTTTTAAATTTTAATGAGGCCCCATTTATCAATATTTTCTTTTACAGCTTATGCTTTTGTTGTCAAGTCTAAGAAGTTTTTACCTAGTCCTAGATCTTAATGTTTTTTCTAAAAGGTTTAAATGTTTGGAGCTAATCTTTGAGAGCTACTGAGGTCATTCATGGTTGTCCTCCCCATCCCTCTTCTCTCCCCTCTTCCTACTTCTTCCCTATACATGTTTGACTGCCCCAGTATAATTTATTGAAAAAACTTCATCCCTTGAAATGCTTTTCTGGGCTGGGGATGTGGCTCAAGTGGTAGCGTGCTCGCCTGGCATGCGTGCGGCCAGGGTTCGATCCTCAGCACCACATACAAACAAAGATGTTGTGTCCACCGAAAACTAAAATAAATATTAAAAAATTCTCTCTTTCTCTTTCTCTCTCTCTTTCTTTAAAAAAAAAAAAGAAATGCTTTTCTGTGTTTGTC